GGAATTGCCAATACATCTCTTGTAATTTCTTGAAGTGTTGGATACTTAATGCCATTCAACTTCCACCACAATAAAATATCAAAATCTGGACTTCTTGGTAAAACTTCCTCTTCCAAATAAACACCCAACTCCATTTTAACAGATGAATTTCTAGCTCTATTTTTTCTTATGGCATACAAATCATAATCTTTCAAATCATCATTACTAACATTACCAACATTAGCATCCAACGTTTCAGATTCACTTCTAGAATCCTTGTTCATTTTTAATTAATAATTATAAAGCAACTCGTAACATACCTGTCCGATTGACTTAACTTGGAAATAAATATCATTTCCATAGAAGACTCCATAATAATATTCAAGCAAATCAGTTTTATACCTAAGATCCAAAACAGTGGCAATCCTCATCATTTCATGAACCACACTCCAATATTTTTCAAACTTTACCAACATGTTTTCTTCCATTATTTTTACCAATTCATCAGAGGATTCAATCCACTGAAGTAATGCAACTTTAATCTGACAAATCTTAGGAAAGTATTCATTGGCATTTGGATACTTAGTTCCGGAAAACACTTCAGTGATAGAATTGAACAATTTCAATTTTCCACAAATCTCTTTTGCAAATTTCCAATGTAAATTAGTTGGCAAACAAGTGTACTGAGTTACACGGATTGCTAATCTATTAAATACTTCTTCATACAAAATTGCAACATCAAGCATCTTGTAGGTAGAATTCCATCTAGTTGAAAAATCTAAAACTAAATTCTTGGTGCAGGGTATTTTTAACTGTTTGGATGTCTCCTCAAACCGTTCCTTCCTTTTAGGTGTTGCAGTCCAAAATGCAATACTATCTCGAATCCTCTCTACCCATCCTTCACAACTTCTAACATTTATTTTACTATTAAATTTAGTATATATGCACAACAACACATATGAAGTAAGGCCACATCCCTTAATAATGTCTCTGGTTTCAACTTAGCCTTAATTTTTTCAATTCTTGCATCATTTGTGCTACAATTGTCCAAAGTGATAGTAGAAAATTTTGTATCAATGTTCCAATCCATCAAACATTCAACCAATGCACCACAAAGATTTTCACTAGTATGAGGTGCAGGAACATAAATAAACCTAACATAATAAGATTCAAAAAACTAGCATAAATGTGATTTACTTCAAAATGTGATTCACAAAACTATATATAATGAGTAGTCAAGAAACATGTTTGCATTTTCAATTTACAACTAAAAGTGACATTAACAACTAAAAAGCTAATCATTGCAAACTACATTAACAGAAAATCACCAAAGTAATGTGTAGTGAGAATTTTAGATTTACCTCAAAATGTGACTATATAAATTTCAGTTTCCATCAATGTAATGAGAAGTGGCAACCATATATCCCTTTTTTTGATTGCTCGAGGTCCAAAGGTCAGAAGTAATGGCCAGTCTTCCTTCAAGATTTTCTAACAACTTCAAAGTTGATGATCTCTCCATATTGTATACTTTGAGTATCTCTTTTTTATAGTATTTCTACAAGGAACTTGAAATATTGATTGGAGAGAAGTTGAGTATCTTCTAAAACCAATATGATCCACTATTGCAAGTGGATATTCATGCAAAATAATTGCATGTGCAAGCTCTTTTTTAGAATTTTCTACATCATAAATTCCAGTACTCAACTCTTACTTACCTTGCATGGTTCTAGGCATAAGAAATGTTTGTCCCTTATCAGATGATTTCAAAAGCTTCTTTTTCGGACAAGATCCCAAATGTCCTTTTAAATGTGTCTTCCCATCATTTGATGATCCATTAAGCTGCTTTGAGCAATAATTACATTGAGCCTTGTCTTTTCCATCAACTTTAATCTTTGTAAAATGATCCCATACAAAACTTTTATGTCTGGATCGACGACTTACGGTTGTTTGGCTATCAACCCCCGTATTATCATTTGGTGTGAGAGGAGGAGCATCAACTGATTGGTTACCACTTTCATTGGAATCGGTTGATGTGTACTTTCTTGTGAGATAGGGTGGACGTTGTGTTTGATAGATACCATCATTTTCCATAACTAATGATCCTATAAAGTAATTAAGTTGTACATAAGTCTCGCAGTAGAATTTACAAGAATAATTAACTTGAAAAAAAAATATTATTTACTTTTAAAATATGCATAGTCTCTAACAACATTTACAAGAATAATTTACAAGCATTTACATACCATCATTTTAAAATATGCATAGTCTGCTTTACATACCATCATTTACAAGCCTAAAATATCCACTGACTTTTATGCAACATTACTGAAGCAAGAAAAAAAACAAAGATGACATTATTCTGCTTTATTTTTTCATGAAGCACTTTATGAGCCTTTTGTTGAATTGGTTTTCAAGTTTTATTTCCATGCAGAGTGATACTCGTCTTGCATTGTTAATTTCTAATGCTGCTAATAACTTTTGATGTTTAATTTTATGACACATGCTCCTCTAGGTAATCTCAAAGACATCCAGATCACAAAAAAGGAATCCCTTGATGTAGGGACTGTACGTTTTCTGTTTACTAGATTTCTTTGTTTCAGCATCTGTAAACAATGTCATTCAAATTCAAGTCATCCAATTTCAAATACTCTAAAGAGATGATTGAGTTTGTTAGCAGCATGGAAGGAATGATATCTCCATATGGGTTCTATACATACAAAAAAAAACAAATTTATGAGATTATCTGTACAATGCTCAGAAGTAGAAAAAACACAGCTTTCATTATAAATATTTCAATACTACTTCTCTAAAATATCTAACTGTGAAGCCAATTGAATAATAATGAAAATACTACAGTTTGTGCTTAATTTTGGTTTCATTACAATCCCTGCTACATCATTCAATTTGTTGGTTGATTTATCATGAAATTTTAGGAGGTAATTTCAATATTCTTTCTTTTCTTCTCTGTATTTTTAAGATTTTAATTATACATGTTAACAGTTTATACCTTTGGTTTATGTTTTCATAATGAAGTGTGGTCCAGTAAACCATCAGATTATACTTAATAATGCTCATGAATCATGATTTTTGGTATGAAATCAGTTGTCGGTGAGCTGTTAGCTGAGTATAGCAGGATTGCATAAAAATTTCTGCAACTATACTACAGTTCATATTAGAGAGATCTGGAAACATTGATTCGAGCTAATTTTCCCGCACCCGCATCCAATTAAGTCACTTTATTGTTGTTTCATGCATAAACACCACTCACAATTTTGGTCCATTAAAACTATTATTTTGGTCCATTTTTTAAGTTTTCTCACAATTTTTGGTAATGTGTCAATGCTATATCATTTTAATATTAATATAATTATTTTTTTTATTTCAACTAATAAAGTCTTTATTATTTTGGTGTTAAATGTTAAAATTCAAAAACATAAAATCTTCAAATAATTGTCTCACATGAGACTTGAACCTTTGTCTTTCCTCTTTAATTTCAATGTCTTTATCACTAGGCTATGCAAACTCATTTGTTAATTTTCCAAACAACTTTTATATATAGTATACATTTAGAACAGAATTTGACACTCTCACTACATCAGTGACAGGTGCTTCTTAATGTTATATCGTTGTCGCTATCACGTTTGCGCTATATGACGATCCTGAAATAAATCTAGTATGAATCTAAATGTACTATTTGTTGAAATAAATAGCTCAATTTAAATTAACTTTTCCTAATTTATTTCTCATCATAGAAAAGATTCCATAAACATTTCCTAAGATCAAGCAAAACACACAAACACAAACACGTAATCATCTAAACGAAATACAATGATTTGCAAAGTGGATCGAACCATTTTCCAGCATACACCAGCTCTACATATTTAAGTGCTAGCGTGTCTTTAAGCTGAAGTGTTTCGCGATCAAGAATTAAACTCTCTAAGTCTCTTGCTGCAGTGAAGAGAATGGTGCCACCATGAGTTTCATTAACTCCTCGGTATTTCAAGCCTACAATGCGGTCTTCAATTGTATCCACACGGTCTATTCCATGACTTTCACCTATCTCATTCGGTTCATCAACCAAATTTTTCGGGGAAAGCTTCTTCCCGTTTACCGACACGGGAATGTCCAACTCATTTCAGTTTATACTCCATGTTCTAAATGTATACTATATATAAAAATTGTTTGGAAAATTAATAAATGAGTCTGTATAGTCCAATGATAAGGGTGTTGGAATTTAAAGAGGAAGGACAAAGGTTCAAGTCTCATGTGAGACAATCATTTGAGAATTTTATGTTTAAGGAAGACCAAAATTCAACAAAAAAAACTTAAGAAATAGACTAAAATAATAATTTTTATAAAAAAAGTTTAAGAAATAGACTAAAATAATAATTTTTATAATAGAGGAATCACAATTAAAAAAAGATAAACAGGATGACCAAAAAGAAAATTACAAACAATAAAGTTGCAATTAAGCTTAAGATAAATTTCTACAATATGGGATTATACCTGTCACAATAGAAAAGATAACCCACTTGTCACATCTTGATATCGGAGGAAATAACCAACAATATGGTAACATTCCTCGTAGAGTTTAAAAAATGGACTTGAAGTATTTATCACTCGCATTTAATAACTTCTGTGATTTAGTCTCACAATATGACTTCAAGTTGCAAAACTTAGATATTTTATATCTCCAAGAAAGTGGTCTTTCTGGTTCCATGCCAAAAAAAATTCACATGATGAGAAGTTTAATGATTCTTGATATTAGTAGTTGCAATCTCACTGGATCTATTCCTATTTCAATAGGATTGCTCCAGCCTTAGAAGAGTAAGACTAGAACAAAACAACCTATCAGGTAGTAAAGAATATGGTTTTGGTGTGTATCCAAATTTAGACTACATAGATTTGGTTTGAGCCAAAATAAATTTGAAAGGAAACAGTCCTATTGAGTTAGACCAATTAACGGTGATTAAAATTTTGATCTTATTAGTATGAACTATTTTAATGGAACTATACCAACAATGCTTGGACAGTTAAAATTCTTAGAAACGTTGAATCTCTCACATAATAATCTATCCGGTGTTATTCACTTTAGTTATGGTGATTTGTTAGCCTTGGCAAACGTTGATATATCATACAACCAATTGGAGGGTTCAATTCCAAGCATTCCAGCATTCCAAAAAGTTTCAATTGAAACATTAAGAAATAACAAAGGCTTGTGTGGTAGCGTCTCTGGCCTTATGCCTTGCTCAACATCAAGTGGAAAGGTTCATGGTCATAAGCCTAACAAACTTTTGGATGTTATTAGCATCATTTGCTTATGGGCTCGCATATCATCTCAATCGAACTTCAAGCAAAAAAGAATTCAAGGATGTAGAAGAATCGCATGCTAAAATTATATTTGCAATCTGAAGTCATGATGGAAAATGGTGTATGAGAACATTATTCAAGCAACAGAAGAGTTTCACAACAAGCATCTCATTGGGGTTGGAGGACATGGAAGTGTTTACAAAGCAGAATTGCCTACACGCCAAGTCGTAGTTGTGAAGAAATTTCATCCAAAACAAAATGAAGAAATATCAAACCTAAAAGCATTTGCTAGTGAGATTCGCGTTTTGGCAGTGTTGGCTAGGATATTTGAGAGGGACTAAAATTCAACCAAAAGAAAATGATCAAAAGTGTTTTATTAGAAAAGATTATTTTATAAGTCATTGGGTCTAGAAACGTCAAAAGGGTCCAAAAGATCCATCAAGCAAGCGAAGCATTTTGGAGGGAAATTTGGAGAACGTGGGTTCGAGAGTACGAATCGAGAACGTAGGATCATAGAGAGGAGTTACAAGATACACGTGGCGTACAAAGAAGCGGAGTCTGCTAAAAAGTAGTTATTTTTGTGTATTATAAATAAAGCATTTAGTGCATAGTGTTAAATGTTCAAACTTTCACATTCCTATACGCTAGTCACTCAGAGTATCCAAACGAACGAGCGAAATGAGTCAAGCTAGGGCAATGTACGTTTGAATCAACTTATTTTCAACTATTTTGATGTTATGTCATTTATATTTATAGTTTAAAACGCCTTTTGTTTTATTTTACAAGTCTTGCTTTATCGTTTATAAACTCGTTTGGCACTGAACATACTTTATAAAAACACTCGAAAACTGAAGCATTGTACCTGTGTAGGGCTGTTTCAGGATGAGTCCGTGTTGAACTTCACCTGGAGATATATGAGAAGGAACCTGTGTAAGATTGCTTCGTCTGGTCGTGTAGATAGTTTCCCTACTTGGTTTCAGGTATTAATCTACAAATCAGTTGTTCGCATATAGTTGTCCTGTCTGGTTTCAGGTATTAATCTGGAATTTGAAAATTGTCGATCACTGAGATAATTGTCCTGCCTCGTTATAGGTATTAATCTCTTACCTGAGAAAGAAAGATAGTTTTTCTGGCTTGTTACAGGTATTAATCTTCAATCTCTTTTATGTAGATAGTTCTCCTGGCTGGTTACAGGTGTTAATCTACAGTTGGTTGTCCGTATATAGTTCTCCTGGCTGGTTTCAGGTATTAATCTGGAACTTGAAAATTGTCGGTCGCTGAGATAGTTGTCCTGGTGGTTACAGGTATTAATCTCTGATCTCTTCATGCAGATAGCTTTCCTGGCTTGTTACAGGTATTAATCTACATTCGGTCGTCCACAGATAGTTGTCCTGGCTGGTTACAGGTATTAATCTGGAACTTGTTTTTGTCGGTCGTTGAGATAGTTGTCCTGACTCGTTACAAGTATTAATCTCTGACCTGTGAAATAAAGATAGGTTTCCTGGCTTGTTACAGGTATTAATCTTCAATCTCTTTATGTAGATAGTTCTCCTGGCTTGTTACAGATATTAATCTACAGTCGGTCGTCCACAGATAGTTGTTCTGGCTGATTACAGGTATTAATCTGGAACTTGTTTTTGTCGGTCGTTGAGATAGTTGTCCTGACTCGTTACAGGTATTAATCTCTGACTTGAGAAAGAAAGATAGTTTTTCTGGCTTGTTACAGGTATTAATCTTCAATCTCTTTATGTAGATGGTTCTCCTGGTTAGTTACAGGTGTTAATCGACAGTTGGTCATCAATAGATAGTTCTCCTGACTGGTTTCAGGTATTAATCTAGAACTTGAAAATTATCGGTCGTCGAGATAGTTGTCCTGGCTTGTTATAGGTATTAATCTCTGACTTGAGAAAGAAAGATAGTTTTACTGGCTAGTTACAGGTATTAATCTTCAATCTCTTTATGTAGATAGTTCTCCTGTCTTGTTACAGGTATTAATCTACAGTCAGTCATCAACGGATGATTCTCCTGGTTTGTTATAGATGTTAATCTGGGACTTATTTTATTGGTCGCATAGATAATTTCCTCGTTCGGTTTTGGGCATTAATTTGTGGCCTGTTGTTGTTGGTGGTAACCCGTCTTGCTTCGGGAGTTCATACCAATTGGTCGCATAGATAGTTTCCCCATCTGGTTTCGGGCATTAATCTTTGACCTGCTGTATAGGTTGATGGTGTCCGTCTGTCTGCGAATTCAACCTGAAAAGGTAAAGTCAGTTTCATGCGATGTCGTGATGTATGAATTGCATGATGTTCTCAAAATAAACGAGATTGTGATATATGCATTTGTGTTGCATATGCTATGATGTTTGTAAAATGATGTATGAATGCAATGTATAAATGTGTCGGTCATTCCGTTGTTATATTGTTGAATTAGGGAAAATAAATCTCTAATTATTGCTGGGTGTGAAGAATGTAGGTCTTCAAATTTGTTGAAGTTAAAACACTGGGAGATGAACTTCCGTTTTTAGAGAAATAAACTCTGTTGGGGAAGGTAAACTCCGTGAACTGCTTGGGGATTTTATTGAAATCCTGTTGGGGAGTCTTAAGAAACTTTGGCCACTTCACAGGGGGGGATATTTAGGTGTTGGAATAGTAATTGGAGATTCTTGCTCTATCGAGGGTATGAGAACACCTGACATCAATAGGCTGTACGCTGAGAATATGGCGGTGACCTTGTAGCAAGATGCCTCTGCCTCTGTACCTACTGGAGAAGGTATTTGTTGGGATTTTATGGATGGTTTGAGTGTCATCCCAACTCCTAGGGTTTTAAGTATATGTTGATCAAGGAGTATTTTATTGTTAGACAAATAACAAGATGAATGGTCATAGTCGTACGCTTTAATCCCTAACTTTTGTCTGGACTGCCCTTTCAAATTTTCAATCCACCGGGATACCCTTTTTTGCCCAAGCCGCCTTTTCAGTTTTTCAACTTGTCGGTGTATAATTTTATTTATGTATCCCTAATTTTTGCCCGAACTCTTTTGGTTCTCCGGTATGCCTTAATTTTTCCTAGGCCAGTCAACCTAGCGGGTCTTTGTTCATGCGTAGTATTTTCCGACTATGTCCATGTTCACCGGGTATGGAGAATTGTCATTGTCCATAGTAGTAAGTGTTACCACAATGTTGACAGATGTTTGTCTGATCGTACAAGATTCGCTGTTGGAATTCATGTCCAATGCCCCAAATGATTCAGATGGAGATTTATCCCTGGCTATTCGGCATTTTGGAGAGATTCCTTGAACCTTAACTTGACTGCCCCAGATCAGTTGGACACCATGCTATACCCCTTGATTATGAAAGGCCTATCACTGAAATGTCTTTCCATCTGAGGTGATTCTGTCCACTGAGAGGATTTCTGTTCATCGAATATCCATCGTGCGAATTTCTCTGCTGTTGAACAAATTGTCATATGCAAACATTGGTATTTTAAGAATAAAAAGCTTATGTCTGTCTTGAAGTTTGAAAATTCATGTTTTAGTAAAACAAATAAATTTGTAAGAATGTGATATCAACTCAAGATTTATAGCAAACCTTACAGGAGTCGGGATACTTTTCGTAACAATATGCTTTAGAACTAACCCATGCTTCAGCTAGGACTTTTAAGGGTTGTAACATGGCCTGGTTCACGGTTTAAGAAACAAAAGATAAAGGCTCAAATTTTATTTTTTCCTAATCCGTTCTTCGTGATGTTCTCCAATCCTATTCTAAGCTAATTGTGCATTTAGATCCCAATTGAGTCTGGGATCTTTGCCCTGATACTTGGTGATGGTTCAAAAATTAAACGTTTGTTTGAGAAGGCAGTCATTTTTGTAACCTTTTCTTTTTTTGTTGAGGATTTGTAGGACCTCTTTTTTTATTTTGTTATCCCTCATTTTTCCTGAATAATTTCTTTTGTGTTTACAGTCAGCGGAATGCCCCCATTTTTTTTAAGTCCCCTTCATAGGTTTTGACTTAGCAGGATTTTCTTTTGAAAGATAATGACTGCCTGTCTTGATGATTATGCGGAACCATAACCATCTTTTGGAAGGCATCCTCTACACTATTTATCGTGTATGAAGGATGAGTTTGCGACTGAATTCACCTCTGAATTAACTGAGAAAGCTACCCTGCCCCAGGTTATGATTAAAGGTTTTAATTTGTGTGAAAAGAAAAACCCCTACTTCTTAGGCTCAAAGGGGTTGACTAGGGATTATCTTCCTTATAACTCCACTGTTTAGGGTTTGAAATAACGCCTATACATCATCAACGGGATATGTTCAAAAGCATATTGTAGAGACTGTGGTATCGTTCTCGTCATCCTCCCTCTAAAGTCTTAGAGCTTTTAATCAAGAGTTGAATATCACGAAAGGAAGTAAAAACACATTTTTAATATAGTGGATACAAATGAAATAATTCAAAATGAACATATGTAATGCATTGATGAAATAACAAAGTTTGACATAAATGAGTGTTCTAACAATCAAAAGAAAATTACAGATTGATAAATTAAATGAACAAGAAGCCTCTTCATCTGAACTTGTCACTTCAGATGGTGTGCCTTAGAGAGATGGCAGAAGAATTCAGCTTGACCATCTTGTGTAAACTCCAGCACTCCTTTGTTGATCAGGTCTTGAATCTTATTTCTCAGCGTCCAACAGCTATTAGTGTCATGTCCAGGACTGTTGGAGTGGTACGCACACCTCGCATTTGGATTATACATTGGGGAAACAATGTTGGGATTCTGAGGAGGATCCTTCAATGTAATCAGCTTGGCCTCCAACACGTGTTGCAATGCTTGAGCCAATGACATGTTGATTTTGGTAAAGCATCTTTTAGATGTGTTCCGCTTATGCTGATTACCCTGTCGTTGTTGGCGAGGTTGTGACGTAACAACAACTTGGAAAGGTCTACTCTCCACCAAGCCAACTTCTTATCTCATTAGGGGCTGATTAATTACTTGATCCCCAATCTCGACTGTTTGCTTCATACGGTTGCATCTGCCTTGATGAAGCTTACTGATGAGAAACCTTAACTCTTCTTGTTCCCGAGCTAAACTTTGGATAAGAGCCATTTGCCTCAGCATCTGGATTCTCATTACTTCCATCTCAGCTTGCAGTTGTTCCTACTGGTCATCCTTATTGTTGTTAGGATGTTTCTTGGTCATGTTTCCGTTGAGGAGTGTTTTCAATTCTTCCTGCCCCTTGGATAGGTTGAGGAACATTTCCATGAACTGAGACTCTTGAGTTTGGAGATCTCTGTTGTTCTGTTTGAAAGCCATTTTCCTTGCTGAAATAAACAGCGAGAAC